AGCGAAGATCTAGTCGAGCTCGACAGAAGCAGGGGAAGGTACTGGATGACGAAGTCATCATACGACCCCCCGACCCCCATGGCGAGGCAGTAGGCCTCGAGCCAATGGTCCGAGTTGGTCTTGCCATCGTACTTGGAGATATGCGTCGGCGGCCGAAACTGCCTAGGGTAGGGGGTCGCCTGGATCGCTGACCCGAACGCCTAGGTGCCAAAGTGATCCAAGGCGGTGCCCCCTGCACCCCACTGTGGAGTGCGGGACTATGCCTGAATGTGGCGCCTGGCTTCGATGGTGTCACGGATGTCGTAGCCGCCTCTGACCCGGTGATGCATGGGGGGCCACCACGGGGAAAGCCAGCGCCTTCGCTCCTGCCGTGGCTTGGCGCCCCTGGTCCATGGATGATCGGAGCTACTACCAGAGGAGTCACCGCCGCTTTCGCACATCGGTGGGGCGTGAGCGTCGGAGCGATCCCCATTGGTGGTAGTCATCAGCTGAGACGGCCTAGCGCGATGCTATGAAGCAGAGCTCTCGGCCTGCTGCTCGAGGGCGATGAGGAGAAGCCGCCTCGCCTCATGCAATTGCTCATTGGTCTTCGAGTCTGGCATATAGGAGATGTCCTCCAGTCGGCAGGCGGTGGCTGCCATATTGTAAGCCGCTTGGAGGAAGTGCAAGGTGTTCGGAGCCCCAGTGCAGGTTTCGTCATCGTTGATAGGTGGCTTCACAACTTGTTGCCGCGCAAAGTCTTGCCTTTGGCATTCGAGCTCTGCCTCGGTGGCCTCCAGGTCCACCTACGGAGCTCGCAAGCGATCCGCCTTCTCCTGAAGGTAGTTCACACGGCTACGGGGACTCAGATCCAGCGGCATGAGCTCAGGTGCCTCATCAGCAGGGACCTCGTCGTTGATGTAGTAGCACATGCGCGGCGGGGCATAGTAGTCGATGTCATCGGAGTCATACTCTGGGTCGTTCCCTAAGAGGATCTCGAGGAAGGTGCGCAGCGAGGGGATGTCTGCCCTCATGGCGCCAAAGAGGATGGCGCCCTATGGTGCCTCACGTCTGACGAGGTGCTCTAGCTAGAAGGATGCCGCCGCATTCTGGATCCTGAAAGGCAGGTCCAGGAGGTAGTACCAGAAGCGATCGGGTGGTGGGTGCACCTCACCGGCGGCGATCTAGTGGTGGACGTTGGCCAGCATGTAGAACATCTGGTGCCGGTCCGACACTGTGGGGTGTGGACCTAGACCACGCTAGATTTGCTGGGCCAGGACTTTGAGATCTGCTCCTAGGAGGCCTGGCGGAGGGGGAGACATCGGGAGCTCGTTGCTCGTCGGCGCGGTCACGTCAAGCGGATGAAGCTCGTCGTAGCAGTTGGTGACATAGTCCAGGCTCCCAAAGTTGAGGACCTAGCCCGGGGCAAAGGCACCGGCCATGATGAAGAACTCGCCGGGGAAGTGGACACCGCTGTTTGGGGCGGTGCCGCTTGCTCCAGCGACGAGACAGGAGGCTCTGGCCACCATAGAGCCCGAATTGTACTTGACGCTGCCCCTACATGGCGCGCCAACTATCATGGGGTCGAAACCGTGATAAGCATTGTTGTTCGAGTTGGTGTCAGAGTACGTGTCTGTGGTGGCTCGGGTGGACTCAAGAACCCAAGAATCATAGAGAGGACGCAACGGTTTATCCTGGTTCAGGCCGATCGGTTCCCTATGTCTAGCAGCTGATGATCCTTATACTCAAGAGCACCCAAAATCGGGGGTTTACAACAAAGTGTATAGGAGAAAGAGAGATTTCATAGGGGGTTAGCTCGGTGCTAATCCTGAGGTTGCCTCACTGCCAGTGAAGCCTTCCCCTCGTCGAAGAGGAGGAAGATGACGGATGCGGCGGAGGAGCTCTCGGTGCCCCTCTTTGGGTTGCTCTGCTCTCGGTGCTGAGCAGGAGCAGATGGATGGTGAGGAATGGAATGATCTGTCTGGGATCGTCCTCCCCTCTCTAGGATCCGACCTTATCCCTTATATATCGAGATAGGTCGGGTTCATGGCGGTTTGGGGGGTTGAGCCTATGGTCTACATGCGCCGGAGTCCAGGAGGGCCTTATAGCGGTGCTCTGTGGACCGTGGCGATGTCGTGGAGCCGAAGAAGCCCTAGGCGTCGTCCGGTTGCTCTGTTCTGACACTCTGGGTGTCAGGCTATGTCGGCTTGGACCGGCCTCCCCCAGGTGGACCTTCTAGAGTCTTCTTGGTGGTGAAGGAGGTCGGCTCTAGGGGCTAACGAGCGGGCCCGGGAACCCTCGAGCCCCTGGAGGCCGAGGGAAAGCTTGTCTTCTTGTGTCACGCCCCGTGTGTGACCTTGTCGGGGGAGCAGCCGGCAAGGCCACGCCCAGAGTGTTGCATCGAGGAGCCCTCGCGCCTCGGTGGCTCGGGGCGTGTCGTCTTGTGCCTGGGCCTTGGCTGGCGTCATAGGCCGGATGGGAGCCGAGGGCTGAGCTCAGGTTTCCCGTCGATCGGGAGCCTGAGGCTCAGGAAAACCCCTGAGCCCTGAGCAGAGGCCTTGGCGTGCTCAGGCTTGGGCAAGTTCCTTAGTCTGAGGGTGCGCGTGAGCATACCAGATGGGTATGGCCCCCGAGCCCCCGAGCGATCCTAGGGGCATTGACCAGGAGGTCTCTTTGGTCAGGAACCATAGATGCCGAAGCTTAACATACCCATATGTTATAGGATCTTGTCACTGGCCATACAAGGTCGTCACCTGAACGTAATGTCAACAACACCAAGTGTGCCACCCACGCGTGCCACGGGGGAGGTCATGCCCCAACCGTGTGTCCTTCTAAACAAGAGACAGGGACATGTCACGCCTTCCTTCTTGTGACGGTACTGTCGCCACGACCAGTCAATAGACGTTTGATGTGGAGGCATGACTCCCCTTCTTTTGCACCAAGAAAAAGGATGGTGGGTCCCATGACCCTGAACGATAAAGATTGGTGAACGAGCTGACTCAAAGCACCCCTTCGTTTTTTTAACATGCCCCCCAAGAACCCATATAAGGGAAGGCCATGGCTATTTTCCCTCTCACTAGACTCTTTGACACCCCGGACAGTTTCCTAGGCTCGCTAGAGTCTGCGCCTAAATCTCCAACTCTCGAACATCCTGTTTGTAACCCCTATTATATTGCAAACATTTGGCCCTTGAGCTCATGAAAACGAAAGAAAACCACGAATTTGACACAGGGCACATTGCCTGAACCAATATAATTCTTGAGTCCTCGAGCGCCAAGCCATCCGAGGACATACGCACAGCTACAAATTTACTAGTTGACGCAAAAAAGATATACACCTTTGTACGAAACATCCACAAAACAGTAGACGCTATGAAATAGTAGACGCTACGAAACATCGACAAAACTGTTGCATGCATTGTCTCTGAAAACGTAACACGGAAAGGTAACAAAGTATCACATTTAGATGGAGTAGAGGCAACATTTTGTATAACATGGATGCTGCAAAAATTTACGTCTTGGCTGCCATTACATTCCAAAAACATAGTACAACACTTCTAGCGTTAGTCTGCTGAGGAAGTTAAGGGCCAGGCTTGGTAGACTCTGAATAAAGAAGTGACCAATCGGTCACACTTGGTCAACTATTGATGCTGATGTTGTCTCCACCTTCTCTTGAGGTTTTATGATGATTGTTCTCCTCATCTGCATCATCCATTGCACTATTCACCTTGCCACACGTTGCAACCTTTGTTTCCTTGCTCTTACCCCAGAGCACACTGTAAAGTCCACCAACCAGCAGGATCCCCCCAACAATACTGCACGCCATGAAAACAACAAGCTAGTGCAATGAATTGAAAGATTTCCTCTAATTATTTGCAGCCATTAGAGCTAGCTTTTTTTTGCGAGGAGTTAGCTTAACAATGTACACACATACAGTAGTTATTCTTACCCGCCGAGGTGCACAATCTCTCCCAAGAAGAACGACGACGAGAATATTGTGAAGACGAAGCAGAGCGGGGTCCAGACGGCAAAGAAGACAGGGCCTTTCATCTCCACACACCATGCTTGCAGGTAGTAGGTCACTCCCGTCACCAAGAACCCCTGTCAGATTAATTAGATTCATTAATTCCACCATCCATTATCTGCCCATCCCGTTCATGGCTAGCTGCCGAGATTACTGTTACGTACGGTGTAGAGGACGGCGAGCAAGCTGATGTCGAGCCGGAGGCTCCACCTGGAGAAGTCCCTCTCAGCCACGACGGCGACGACGAACGACTGCACGGCGCTGAACACGCACTGCACCACCGTGACGAGCATCTTGTTGGGGTACTCCTTGAGCAGCTTGCCCTGCAGGACGATCCAGAGCGACCACGCCATGTTGGCGAGCACCGTCAGGAACGTGCCCTTGATCCATGTCGTCCTGCCGCCGCTCGGAGCTGGACTGGCGGAGGAGGCGAAGGCGCGGTGGCGGTTCACGGGGCTCAGCGCGGGCCCGACGTAGAAGGCTATGGCGAAGACTCCGGCGAGGCAGAGCGACACGCCAGCGAGCTTGGCTAGGCCTGATGAGCTCCTCAGCTTCACCGCCTCCATCTTCAGCAGCAGCGCGAAGCAGAAGGTGACGACTGGCATGGCGTTGGTCGCCGCGGACGCCACGGTTGCCGACGTGAACTTGAGGCTCACGTTGTACAGGTTTAGGCTGAATGTGATCCTGCAAACGTAATATTATTAATAGCTACTAGTTAATAAGTTGTTTGAATGAATGAAACATACATGCATGCATAGAAACATTTTCTTTCAAAAACAAATATTAAATATATAGAAACATGCATGCATAGTGCATATATATATACCGTACCCGATTAAGGCTAAGAAGAAGAGCTTTAGGAGCAGCCAAGGCGACAAGGTTCTCACATTTTTCCTGCAAATTAGTTGAATTCATTCGTCTCAAATCTCAGAACCAGCTGGGTTTCATTCAATTCACAGTAGCTCATCACTAGATAGCTAGTAGGTTAGGACAGGTACCTTTCAAGAACAAGTGCGATAGGAACGAGGAGGAGCGATGCGGCGGCCTGGCGGTAGAAGACGAAGACGTAGGTGTTCATGCCATGGTTGAAGGCCGCCTTGGAGACGACGAACATGCCGGTGTAGATGAGCTGGACGACGATGGCGATCACGTAAGGCTTCTTTCCCTCCATCTCCATGACGACACGACACTCCTAAGCTAGCAGCAGCAGATCTCTGCAAGGATCTGATGGAGCGAGCAAAAACCAAAAGCAGCCAAAGTATAGCTAGCTAGCAGCAGAATGCATGAAGAGAAGATCAGCTGCTGTCTGCTGCCTGCTGCCTTGTTAGGTATTAACTATATAGTAGCTAAGCTAGCTAGCAGAACCAAAGGAGATTACTATATATGGCTATGCAGCCCGAGCCCGTCAGCCCGGCCCAAGGCCCTTTTTTTGCCCCGGCCCGGCCCGGCGGCGAGCAGGCCCGGGCTGGCACAGCCCGGAGGAGCAGGCCGTGCCTGTGCCTTACCCCAGGCACGGCACGGCCCGCTCCTCAAGCGGCGGCCCGCTGGTGGCCCGGCTTGCCACCAGCTGAGCCGCTCCCCGCTCGCCCGCTCCGCAGTCCGCTCGACCTCTCCCAACCCTAACCCTAATCCCCACTCAGTCTATCTCGAGTCTCGCTCGCCGCGGCGCAATCTCTGCTCTCTCTCGCGCGGTCTCGCCCGCATCGGCCGCATCTACGATCTGGCGAATCTAAGCTCTCTCTCGTCTGTCGTCCCCGACTCCGCTGACCTCGATCTGCCTGTCTGACCCTGTCTCCACTCTCCTCCCTTCTCCCTCTCTCCTCTCGACCTCTCGCTCTTGGTGAACTATGTGAGTTCGTGACCGTGTTCCTGTCCGTCCCTCCTCCGCCGTTCGCCATCGTTTCTAATCGGTGTCTCTCCTCTAGGTGGCCCTCGTCATCTCCGGCACCGGGCTCTAGTTGCGCAGGTAGGCCACAAACCCTAATCCTAACCCTAGATCTGTCTTCTTGTGTCTCTAAGACTGAGTGACTGACCCTGGATCAAGATCTCTATCTCTCTGTTTTTCTCCTCCGCGCAGGTCAGTTGCCGATGCCTCGTCCTCTTCCTGTGGCATAGACTAGGCATGGCGGGCGCGCGCACCCTTGAGGAACAGTGCTGGAGATCAGCCGTCCACGGTCAAGGTCGCCATGGCGGATGACGATGATGTCGTCTATCCACTCATCGGCAACGATGACCTAATCGCGGCAGGGCTGGTCCCCGAGGACGACGACGACATCCATGACGACATTGTTGCATTGTTGGGTATCGATGTCGGTAGCGGCTCTGCTCCGATCGATCTGGATGGCGGCGACGGTGGTGGAGGGTGGCGCCGGCACCGTCGGCGCCGGTCGGCTCCAACAGCACAGATGGTATCTCATCTCTTGGTAAGTGTAAGTCTGGTGTCTGTGTTGATTTTGATGAGAACTATGAGACTGTGCATGGTTCACAGATTCGAACTGCTGCTATCTGTAAAATGTGTAAGAGTAAATTGTCTGCTGGATCTTCTGCTGGCACTGGCCATTTGATTAGGCACCAGAAATCTTATAGGAAAAAGGTTGATCACGCTGCTAGGGTTCAGTCTAAGCTTTCTTTCAATCCTAATAGATCTATGCAAAACTGGGACTACAATCCTGTTGTTGCTCGATCTGAGTTACGTCGGTTGATTGCTAGGCTTGACCTTCCATTAGGTATAGGTGAGACACAGACCTAGGAGGATTACATTGTTCTTGCTCATAACCTTAGGTTTGCCAAGGTTTCTAGACAGACCACCACTAGAGATCTTGCTAAGCTGCTTACTAAATGTCGTGATATGCTTAAGAATTTTGTGTTGCCTGTTGCTTCTTCTGTTGCTTTGACTTCAAACATTTAGCCTAGTAATGCTAAGGAGGACTATATTAGTGTTGTTGCTCACTATGTGAATGCTGATTGGGAGTTACAGAAAAGGGTTATTGGTCTTAGGCTGATTGAGGTTAAACATTCTGGTGAAAACATTAGTGAAAGAATTGCTGCTGTGGTTGAGGAGTATTGTCGATTGACAAGATTTTCTCTGTCACTCTAGACAATGCTTCTTCTAATGCTAAGGCTATGAACACTTTGACACCTCTATTTGCTGGTTACTTGGGTCCTGATCCTTCACCTGATCCTTTGGATCCTAGTAACCGTAAGTACAGTCTTGTACATCAACGTTGTGCTTGTCATATCATTAATCTCATTGTAAAATCTGAATTAAAGAGGTTAAAACCTTACACAGAAGATTTTAGAACTGCAATTAACTTCTTAAATTTCTCTAATCAAATAATTACATTGTTCAAGGAATACTGTAATGTTAAGGGTGTTGGACCTAGAAAGTTTGACTTGGATATGGATGTTAGATGGAATTCTACTTACCTGATGCTTAAACACTTGCTTCCATACAAGAATGTCTTTTCTGTGTTCATTAATTCTCATTATGGTTCACAATTGTTGACTTCAAATCATTGGTATTTTGCTGAGAAGTTCTTAGAGTTCCTGGAACTCTTTTATGACTCCACTATTGTTCTGTCTGGTGTTTATTATCCTACAAGTCCATTTGTTCTGCACCATATCCTAGAGATTGCTTCTTATTTGCATGCATGTGAAAAAGATCAAAATCTGAGAGCTATTGTATATCCTATGAAGCTTAAATTCCTTAAATATTGGCAGGACATACCTCTACTATATTCATATGCATTCATTCTTGATCTTAGAACTAAGATGAGATGTTTCTTTAATGTGCTGCAATTAATTTGTGAATACACTAGTTCTGAGTACAGTTCACACTATGCTGATGTCAAAACTGAATTGTATAAACTGTTTAATAAATATGAGAGCAAGTTTGGTACAGCTAGGTCTCAAAGGATTGCAAAACCATCAAATCATACAGGTAAGAAAAAGCAGGCACGGGGAAGAATCTTTGGCCGTGGATCAGGTATTGTTGCTCCTTCCCCTTTCTCTGCCACTTTATCTTCATCTACTTCTGCTGTTTGTGAGCTCTCAGCTTACTTAGATAGTGACAATGTCACTTCTTATGAGGATAATTTTGACCTACTTCTGTGGTGGCGTGACCACAAGCTAATGGCTAGAGATTTCATATCAGTTTCTGTATCTACTGTCTCTTCGGAGTCTTGTTTCAATTTGACAGACAAGATAATTGAGGAACGGCGGCGGCGCTTATCACCAGAGACTGTGGATATGTTGACCTGCATAAAGGACTGGGAGTTAGGAGAAAAAAGGGAACAGCATGCTGTTGAGAACCATGAACTGGAAGACTCATTCAAGAACTTGTACTTTGATGAAGATGAAGCTGCTGGTGGTGCTCTTGGTACTTAGTGAGGTTGAGACTGGACTCTTGAGAGTGTAAGTGTGATCTGTGACTGTAAAAGAGTAAGTGTATCAAAGACTTGTCTATCATTTAAACAATGATTTGTAAGACTTAATTAAAAGCTGGCTGCATTCATACGCCAAGTAAGTGAGACATTTGTCTCATGTGCTTCAGATTTTACGTGCATGCTACTTAGCTATTGATCCTAGAAAGTTGTCATTTCAGTAGCAAAGACTAAAAGGTGTAGGGTGCAGGTGCACAATTCTATGTTTGGTGAGAGACAAACTAACTTAAATTTAACCAAGTTTATATAAAATAGTATCAACTTAACACTCAAGATAGGTATATTATTATAAAAATATATTTGATAACAAATCCTAATGATATTTATTTAGTACAATAAAAAATATATTATATATATAAATTTGGTAAAAATTAGATGATACTGAGCATGATTCTAGAATTACATTTTTTATAAGAACCAGAAGAGTACTCCTAGTAATAAACGGTTAGCTCTTTATATTATTATTATTATTATTATGGTATTATCAAAAATGAAAAAAAAGATGGCTAGCTAACTAGCTAGCTTTTTTTTTTGGAACAGCTAACTAGCTAGCTATATAGGCCCAGCTATTGTGTGAGACATTTGTCCGATGTGCATCAGATTTTACGTGCAAGCTAGCTAGCCTAGCTGTTGCTTAACGCCACAACTGCAAGCAATAGAGTACACACGCTAGAAATAAATAAATCGTCAATGGAATGGAATCCTAGAAAGTTGTGATTTCAGTACCAAGGCTTTGTTTAGATTAGGGTTAAGAATCAGTATTTGGCACTGTAGCAGTTTCATTTGTATTTGATAATTATTGTCTAATCATGGCCTAACTAGGCTCAAAAGATTCGTCTCGTAATTTACAATCAAACTGTATAATTAATTATTTTTTTATCTACATTTAATACTCCATGCATATATCAAAAGATTTAATGTGATGGAGAATAAAAAAACTTGCAATCTAAACAAGGCCAAAGACTAAAAGGCGTGTACACGGTGCTTGACCATTCAAAAGCAGAGCTACCTAGCTCAGTCCTATATCTAGTATGATGCAATTCTAGATTTACATTGAGTCAAACTTCTTTAAATTTAACTAAATCTATAGAAAAATAGTATTTATATTTATAACTACAAATAAATATAATATAAAATCATATTTCATGAAGAATCTAATTATAATGATTTGGAATCGTATACGAACTGATCATCATAGATCAGTTCGTTAGTATCGGTGCGAAAAGTGACCAACAAGTAAATATTTGTAGTTTTACCACGCGTTGTGATCGGATGTGGCCTAGCACTCAATAACATATGATTTATACTGGTTCAGACAACAAGCCCTACGTCCAGTTGAGGTCGGTCGGTGACTTTATTCCTGAGCCCAGGTGCTTGAAGTTTGCTATAGGGTTACAAACGAGTAGGAATGAGAAGGAGGGTGTTAAAGGCCCAGTCGGACTCTGAACCGAATGGAAGAGAGTGACGGGTGCTCTAACGTGCGCTAAGTATTGGAGCGTATGCTCTGTGTAGCTGTCGAGCTATTCGAGTCCTCAGGTCGTCGAGTCCTCGAGTCGTCTAGCGTCCCCCAGTTGGGAGAGAGCGCATCCCCTTTTATAAGCGAAGGGGATGGCCTTACGAGTAAGAGAGAAGGAGAGAGAGTGCGTACGTGTGCTACCTAGTCTTGTTGCCCACATTGTCGGGTACGACATGGCAGCCAGCGCCTACAATACTATTTATGCCCAGACGCGTCTGG